AACTTCATTCTTCGTGCTTTTTAAACAACATAAAACTTATACGTCATTCGATTCTAGATATCACCTCCAACGTACTTGACATAAAAAGTTACTCCAACAACAACAGAATCACTTATTTTATTTTTCGAAAATTCTCCCAAAAGAAAACCCTTTCGAAAAAATTGCTCGATTAATAAATTTTTAGTGAATTCGGCACGCTTTGCATTTTAGAGCAACGTTTTATTACAACCATCTACTTCGCTCACAGCTGCAAAAAAAAAAAATGAAAAAGAATAAACGCGCAGAGGTACAACTCTCGCGGGCTTTTGCGTTTCGATCTTCACTTCGGGCATCCTGCCCCGCTCGCTCATAAAGAAAAAACTGGCAGTTGTTTTACAGATGCTGATTAGAGCTGGCTCCTCTAATAAAATCTTCAAAAAGAACGTCCGACCGTGCAGAATATTTTTATTCTCACCGTTCTCATCTATGTAAAAGAGCAAAAAAGAAAAACACCTTATAAATACGACCTGCATGGAAATGCAGAAAAATATATGTACTTCGCTCTCGACTCTTCTTTTTTGAACAGAAGAAAAAAAAAAAATGGAGCTAGGGAGCGTATCGTCCCTCCGCGATGTAGCCCGGGGTATTGTTTCTTCCATGTATGCGTAGTTGTGTCGTGTGCAATTGCGCCACTTGAGGCCAAAGTCAAGAACCACGCACTTGAGAAGAGAAAACATTTCTCCCGCAATAAAAATATAAGCACCTTTGCGGTACGTACCGCAATAAAACAAAAGGTCCTTTTTCTGACCTATCGAGAACTCTTTTTATGCTCATAATTGAGGGTCCTTTCAGGTATTCGAGTGGCAAAAGTGTGCGATGTACCCAAGTTCCAGTACAGCCAAGGTAAGATGGAATGAAAAATGGCCACCAACATTCCTCTGCAGAGCAGGGGATAATGGAAGGGGAGGTAGGGAAAAAAGGAGAAGAGAAAGAATTAAAAGTAGACGATGGAGGAGCAAGAAAAAGAAGGACCTATAAGAATTACGGCGGTATAAAGGAGCGAAACAAAGGCGGTGGAATCGTCGTTGGAATTAAGGGGGTGTTACGTAAGTCGACGTGGGCGAGTAAAAGGGGTTGGGGGATGATAAATACAGAGATAAAGGAGGAAGAGGAAAAATAAAATGAAACAGCAGCGGCGCCGCGCTTGGGTAACGCAGTAGCAGGAAGAGAACGGAGGTATGGAGGAGGGGAAAAAAAAAAAGAGTCAAGACAGAAACTAAGACGTAGCGTGGCAAAGAGCGAAGGGCGAGAGTTGGCTACGGGTGCGGGAAAAAGATGCGCTTGGGGGGAAAAAAAGAGCGCGGAACAAAAGAAAAACTTTCGCGAAATGAGTCGGAGACGTTGGGGAGGATGAGGGGGGGGGAAGAAAAAGTTGCGTTTTTGCGACTACTGTGCTCTTTCTGCAGCATCAGTGCAGCAGTGGAGGGGGAAGAGGAGAAGGGAAGAGACGGGAAGGTGGGGAATAACAGGGGGCCACAGGTGCACTACTTTTGGGCTTGGGATAAAAAGGCTCTTGCTCTCGCCATATCCGCGTACGTATATTCCTACATGTTGTACAAGAGACAAGATAAAAGCTAAATTTTCAATGCAATATCTCGAGCGAGGATAAGAGGACAAGGGTACCTCTGGTAGTGCGATCGGAGGATTATATTTGTCTTCCATCAAATACTCGTTCATTATTTTAAAAATAGTACCTGCATCTGCATTTTTTTTTCTCTCAATCATTTCATCAACATTTCTTTTTGAAAAATCGTTGTGATGATAAAACACGCGTGCAAGATAGAGAAAGTTGAAGAAAAAAATTTAGGATGGATAAAGGTCAATTAAAAAGGCAAGAAACTCAAGGAATAGTTAGAAATTTAGCTTATCTCGTTTGTCAACTCGATCGTAAGGAATGAGTTTTCTTCATGAATTATTGCTCTCTTCAAATTGACTCGAATAAATGAAAATTGCGTCTCCAAGTGCAGCGATATCGGTGCATATTTCGTAAAATTGTTGTACAAGTGAATTTCAGGAAATAAACGAAGTCATCTTGAAAACTTTATTTCTTGTGCGAAATGAGTATAGTCACTGGTCCAAACTTTGTCAGGCAGCGTTTTGGAAAATTGTTTGAAATCTCGGAGAAAACAAGAATCCTTGAATGCAAAGTGTGAAGAACAGAGGAAAACTTTGAAAGCTGGGGGTCAAGAGGCATGTAGAAGGGACTCGAGAGAAATGGAGCGTGAAAAATGCGAGGAAAATTTTGGATGGAAAAAGAAGGGAAATGCAAAGAAAGAAGGGAAAAAAACGAAGCGGAAGGGACGAAAAGTTAGCCCGTCCTCCTCTCTTTTCCCTTATCAAGTAATTGACCAATTTTAAACTTTTTCCGACGGCTCTCTTGGCTCCGAATGTCATCATTACCGAAGGGAACGAGCAGTTTGGAAAATTAAATTAAGCTCGCACGCGTGCACTCTAGCATGTAACGTCCCTTATTAGCAGCTTCGTTTAACCACTCGTTTCACGTGGAATTGATTTTAACGCCCTACTTTGGTATCACGCCATACTTCTTCTCATCTAAACAAGCTTACGATATTTTTAATATCCCCACGGTGGTGATGGCCTAGCGTTTTTCAAACAACTTGCTTATTCACGATTATCCGGTTGTAATAGGAAAGAAGCACAAAAATGGGAAAAAAATTTAGTGCAAAAAAACACCCGCTCATTACGAAACTCACGAATTAGGCTCCAAGGGCTGTACGAGAGACGTTCGGACACACAGTTATCCTATACTGCTAGAGAGAGAAAAAAAGATTCGTAATACACTGCGAAAGAATAATGGGAAGTAGATCGCCAATATTATCAAACGCGTCAAGGCTCCTAAACAAACCATTATAAATTTCAACACTGCCTGCACTATTAAAAGCAGCGTATCCATAAAAACAGAGCCACGAAGGGACCTGTTGAAGAAAAGTTTACGTGGGTTTTGAAAGGAATAACATCCGCGCGTGAGCCTCACGAGACGAAAGCGAGAATTGTAACACGCCGCAACGAGTGCAAAACCACAACAGCGGTGGAGGAGAAGCCCGTGGAGTTACTAAAATAGACTCAAAGTGCTGTTCGGTGCCGAGTCAGAGGGAGGAGGCTCGTATATATACCCTCTTGAGCTTCTAAAGCTGGGAAGAGGTCCCTTACGTGTATGTGTACGCCGTCAACGGCGTGCATTGTAGCTAGAGGAGAGAACGGAGAAGACAAAAGGAAGCCTTTGAGGAGGCTGCTGTTTCAATATAAAGGCTCGGTGAGATTTTTCGCGTGTGACGTACAGTGGTGGTGATGGTCTATTAACGAAAACTACGGGAAGCTACGAAGCGTCTACTGCCTTCGCGTCGTTGCGGGTGTTTTCAGTTTATTATTTCAAAAGAAAACGCCAGGAGTGCTTTTTCCGTCTGACAGAAAAAAAAAACCGAGCTCTCTCTCGAGCCTAAAAAAGGGAAAAAAAATCCTTGAAATCTAAAGAGGCGAGGTAGTGGCGCAAGAAAATACATACGCTCAGTGGCACTTGAAAGGCTCACGACTATACGTCTACTTAGTGCGACGCAAGCACGTCAATTAACACGTTTTTTGGTTTTTAATTGCACCACTACGACGACAAGCTCACCCGAGGGTCCTCGTAATTTTGCGTTGAAAATCAAAAGTGTCGAGCCACCACACACACAAGCCACTTTGACGTAGTTCCGTTGTACACGCACAAGAAAAATGTCCTACTTTCAACTGTTCTACTCGTGAATTTCGTGCTAAAGAAAAAAAAGGACCAGAATAACTTGGACGTGCGAATGAATATTGGAACCATCCCGTCATATTGAGAAACTTATTACTGCATGCGGGTTTAATCCAAATCCAGCGTCAAAGTTCGCTACCGATGCAGGTACAAAATCGTGCAATAGTCACTCTAGAATATGAGGTCTAAAAAAAAATGATCTATGAAGAAAGAAAAAACAAAAAGCAGGTGTCTCAAAAAATATTTCATCATGAGAAAAAAAGTAGAAAAGGTCAACGTGTAATCCGACGATCGAATCAGCGAATCCAAGTGATCCACCAGAGCGGAAAAGCCTAGCTTGATTTAATTTTCATTAATTTGGAATTCAGTTTATACATGAAATATTCATTGCGTAACAAGTGGCCGTAGCACCGTGACACCCGAGACCTATTTGCCCTCTTCTACAATTGTATCAACCTCCGACGTGCAGTAAGGCACGTATGGCGATTCTACTGCACACGACGAACCAGAAATTTTAACCAGCAACCAACACACTTTGTTTTTTTTTTTTTTGTGCTTACCAGCAACATATTTATCAAGCCTTATAGCTTCAAACAATGCCTCGAACAAACAAACATGTTCACTATCGAACGTAGCTCACAGTTCTGCATCTATGAAAAACAATACTCGTGTGTACGCCCATACAAGCGAGGTAAAGAAATCTCAATTTCTCATCCGTTTTTGAAAGTATTAAAAAACAGTAGCAAATCGCACACGTGGATTGAAAGAGCACATTGGGAGCGGCAGCGCAGCACCACCAACCGCGTGCGCCACAACAGATCCCCCAGATCCCCAAGCAAGAAACACCATTGCGTCGACTGCCAATGAATGGGGGAGAGGTGGAGAGGAATACGCACAGAGAGATAGTTATATCCATAGGTGGGTATATAGATATACAGGACAGGGGTAGGGGGCCGTGGATCCTCAGCGCAAACTCAGAGAGCCCCAGCCGAGCAACGGGTGGTAGGGACAGTGGAAATAGCACCACAAGGAGCCACTTCCTCCCCTCATCTACTCCCTCTACTGACACACGAGACGCGAGTAGAAGGGAGAGGGGAAAGGCTTGCGCTCTCTCTCTCTCTCTCTCTCTCTCTAGCTTGTACAACGAAGGAGCTTCCGGAGGGCTGGGGATGGGGCTCCTGCCGGCCGCAGTCTTTGCCGGTGGCTTTCCGCTTGAGGTGGTGGTTGCCCGCGCACGGATAACTGCAATCACGCGCGCTGTCGCCCCTTCTCGTCGCATTTCGTTTATTTCGTTGACCACATTGAAGTAATGTGCTAGTGCGCGTAACAATAGTTGTAGTGTCATTAAAAAATAAGGAGAGCGTGAAAAGGGATTTTGACGATCGATGGCCATTTGGTCCTGGGATGTCTGACCATACGCTGACTGTTACTACTGGCGCTCAGTTGAGCGCGTTGATCGCTCTACGGTGAGCTGCATCAATCGTAGGCTCATACGTTTTCTTTTAATACTCATCGTATTATAATAAATTATGTATTCGTATGCGATGAACCCATCAGAGATATAATATACTACAGTGCTGTAAAGTGGTGAGTGGTACGTGATGATGTGTAAAGTGTTTCGCAGTGTTGGAGAGGTAACGCTATTCAAGTGTGTAAGCGCGATTGGATTAGTTGTCAGGATGATTGGACAGCTGTTGTAATAATAGTAAAAGACAACGACGACGACTTGAGGGAATAGAGACGATAAGCATAAGCAGAAGAAATGAAGAGCGACGTTGACCCGAACGGCGCGAGGAGGGAACGGCTATCGTCGCTACAATTGGTGCTTTGCGCTACGTGGCTCTTAGGTTTGTATTAAACAGAATTTGGGCTGTGAAACAATTTTCATGGTAGCTCTTTCTCTCTCTCTCTCTCTCTCTTTGGGTGTGCGTGCGAAAATGTGCGTTTCAAAGGGAAGTATTATACGATCCCTTAGACAGCAGTACTTTGTCAGTTTTCCACTTGACTTGTAAAATAATAATACAAATGAAAGAAAATAAAATTAATGGAGAATCGTAGAAAAACCATAACAATCAATGAGGTGTATTTAATTCCTTGTATTACATATGTATGAAACTTTTTCTCTGGTCAAAAATATGCTAGCCATGCCGTAAACATCAAAATTTAGCCGCTTGTTTTCGTATCTCTATTGTTGGGCTGTGTTGTTGTTGTTATCACCGTTATTATACGCTACGAGAGCTCGATGTGGATGATCCATCCGTAATTACGACAAATCAAGCCGGATGAGTGCCGTCACTCATGAGCTTTTGTTACGATGCCTGTGTGTATGTATTTGTGTACACAGGAAACGTTACCTTGACTAGAACCACTCAATCTCCATCTCTCTCTCTCTCTCTCTCTCTCTCTCTCTCTCTCTCTCTCTCTCTCTCTCTCTCTCTCTCCATCTTCCTGTAATACATTTCTCTTTGTTCTAGTGTTCTAGCGCGTGGAAGATCCTTTGTGTACAAGATTATAAAAATTGCATCAGTACTACTTATCTGTTTAGTTCGACAAATGTAAATGGGTATGGTTGTTTTTAAGCATGACGATCCCTACAAGAGCCTTGTGTTTCTATCAAAGCAAAAAGTGTAACTGTACATTGATCGAATACTTTTTGTAAGAAACAGAGTCTTTAAGACTAAAAAATTTCAGATATAAACAATTCACACTTTTTCTTACAAATTACTAAAATCGTTTGAAATTATCAAAACTTCGTTTTACAGTACTTTTAATATTCATACGTGCACGATTAACACGATTCTTTTCAGTGATGAGCATCAGGCGTTTCTTGCATACAAAACCGTCTAATCATTATCAAAAGTTTAGCAACACGTTCAAGGAAATTATCATCTTGAACGATTTTTTTTCAAAATAAGTACATTACATAAATTATAAGGCCTAATTATCAATATTATTCAAAAATATCATACCCCTTTTGCGTTATCGGTAAGGAACCAATAGATTTTAAATCGCTTCTGTTCCTGTAGCTGAACATACACCCAACTCGTAATTTGTTCATGTTTTGCGATACATATTTTTATAATGTTTTATTCCTGCGTAATTTTAGTAATTGGTAGTGGATCTGCATACGAAGTAAAAAGCAGACCAAAAGAAAACATCGAGGAGAAGTTTCATAAAGAGTGTATGTCGAAAAATTAAATAATGTTAAATTCGGGGTCCTCTTGAGTCATTCTAGCGTATTTCGAGTTTCTACTATGAAAACGAGATTTTTATTTCGAACGTAGGCGACAAAAAGAGGCTCGTACACGCAACAACGGATGCGTTCATTAATTAACGTGGGTTGACACTGCGACAAAAGTCTTGCAAGGAAGGAAAGTACTCGTATAATTACCGTAAACTGCGTTTGGAAAAAATTGTATTTCCTACCAAACCCACCGTCCAACTAATGATCGACGCCGAATCGCGAACACGCGTTTCTCTTTCCGAATCCGGTTTTCAGTCTAGTAACTTCTTTAATTAAAAAAGCACTAGACATTCACCTCGCGTCTCTGTAGGTCAAGTGCGCCAAAGAGGGCAGGAAGGCTGAAAGAAAGTGGGTCCAACAGAACAAAATATTATACAAAGCTCCTTTCGACTGGCTGAATCGAGAAGTTTTTGGCCCTTCGATTCCACCCCTTTGATCCCAACGAGCCTGTTGGCGGCATGATATCGGGGCAGCGTTTCTCCGATGAGTCCACGCATTTCTCAAGTTATACCGTTACCTGAATATCAATTTCATTAAGCTACACGTGTAAACACAGATGCAGAGGACAAACAATTACAGCATACTGTGCAGCCCTTAAACTTCACCGCAACTCCCCCGCTGGTGGCTAACTTGGGTTCGTTTGTGAATGATGTATTCGAGATCCGTGGCTTGGCTCACGTGACTAATAACACACCCTTTGCCAGCCATGTAAATGTAAATGAGCTTTGATATTATTGTTTGCCAAGTATTTTTACTACAAACTTGTACAATTTATTGTCTGGGGTGCGCATCAAACGATGAGCCAAGAGGCGAATGACTCGCGATTTTTCAGTGGTCTGTTGCGATACATGGTATCTGAAATTATAACAATTAGTTATTCTCATCCGTGCATTTCCTTCGTTCCGGTACGACGGCAAGTATGCGTGTAAACACATGTACATATGGATCCCCTTGTATCCAACAAGCGCTGCGTGCCAGCATCAACAACGGCGCGCATTTTACAACTAGCCCACCCCTCGTTTTCCCCCAAAGTTACCTCTAGGAAATTTCAGGCCTCGTTATCTGATTTGCCGGCGTGTCGGCAGCTCGCCCCTCCTCCCTCACCTTGTTACCATACCCCTGGAAAGTTCGTAGGCTCACACATGTGTGTGCACACATCATAAATACACGCGCACATATATATACACTGGCTGCACGCTTGTGCACACAAACAATTACTTATACTCGAGCCAGGCTGTATAGGCTTAGGATCTTATGTGCAGACACATGTGCCTACGTAATGGCGGGGAAGGGGTTGCTTCCACGCATACAGGTGACCCCAACGCGGCATCGTAGTAATTTACGTACGGAGAACTAGTTGTTGGTGTATAAACATGTTTCAACCCCCCGAAAGTTTAATATTGATGCCTCTGTTTGGTTGTGCGTATCATGTTTGTTGATACGCGGATGCGTTTCTGGTGCGTATAATCGGATGACTTCCAAATGAGGTACGTAGAAAACTGATGACGTACGTATAATTTGACCAAGGCTATTATGATAGGTATTCGATGAAATGTGCATTACAAATATTATATCTTCGTTGAGGAAACGTAGCATCTTTCGATTGGACATAGTTGACATCGATGGACTCAGGAGGATGGTTTGAACACGTATATACATTTATACGTATAGCTAAAATTTTATTAAATTTTGATCGCTCCTGGTATTATTTTTGAAATAAAATGAGAATCCACGTTTTGTGCGATAAATAATCATCCGTGAATGTCTTTTTTATAATTCATAAAAATTTAATAGCATGAAATTTCTGCAATTAACGAGTGCAGGGTACTATACTTCATAGGGATGCAGTTAACGGGATACTTATCAGTCGTGCAACGGCATTGCCGTCAGATGAATAAAAGGGGAGGAGGGTAGGCGAACACGAGTCACGGGGAGAAGATAAGATCTTGAATTGTAAATTTTTATTTTCTTAAATACTCAGCCTCGCCGCTCGTATAATCTGCAAAGTGTTCTTGTATAAGGCGTTCAGGGGAGAAAGGGAGCAAGAGACTATTTCTCAGGGGGAATTTTAATACGAAAACTTTGTCCACGGTTTACCAGACTTTTTATGATCTCGTTTTCGCTGAATACGTTATAAAGTCAAGCCCTATTGAAAATAAAAAAGTCACGCATTTTTCCGTGCCCAATACTTGAGCTTCCGGTCGCTTGGAATACAAAAAATTTTTTTTTTTTTTTGCACTTTTCAAAGTTATATTGAGTTTTCATACGGCAAGCAAGAATGTTCCTCTTCTTCCAAGTTTGGGATTTCAGCGATCGTTGTGTATTCTAGCTCTTTATGCTTGGTGTGAGTTGTTTTTTTTTTTTTTTTTCATACGTATATAAATATAAATTAACCACACCTTTTTCCACCCCCACAAAACTAACAAGACTTTATGTGTGTACGTTAAATTCATGATTTTTTTATTTTTCAAAATAACGAATATTTTTAATGGGATCTCGTATCAATAAGAAAATATACCGTGACGACCATAGTATCGATGCATTTCCTGACTCGATAAAACTCATTTAGAAAAGTAATGTGCATCTGAATCGATTTCGTATCGGAATACAGGTTGGCTTCATTTCTGACAGGCAGCACCTTCAATACATAAATATCCTCGTTTATTCAATAAAATCGGCTCAGTCGAGCATACACGTTTTATCGAGCTTTATTTTCTGTATCCGACATGTGATACAACGAAAGATTGAAATCGGAAAATCGATGTAAATAAGCAAAAGTGGAACATGTAAATTGCAGGTCTCGTTGCTTATTGAAAAAGCCGAGCGTCCACATTCTACTCATCGTGACGCATAAAACTATTTTCCGATCAATTAAATTTTATTTTTACAAATCCCATTTCATTTGTCACACAATATCGTATAACTTCACACTTTCCGAATGAAGGAAAAAAACCACGATAATCCCCAACTTCCAAATCTCCTTATCAACTTTCCCGAAACTCTCTTACTGTACAGCCCCACGATCTCGATATCCCCGCTAATCCCATACGGTGCTCTCAACACCTTCGTAACTCCCCTTCGATCGAAACTAACTGAAAGTACCCCCCCTTCGAACACAAACGCGTTCTTCATCCACGTCAACCAGATTCCATCCCTCCACGTACTACTCGTGTAGCCCTATATGTGTAACCTCCAGCGCAGCAAGCTTTTTCACGGTCTTTTAATCCTTATTAGGAGCCAATTAAGCACCCTCCCGCTCCATGTTCGGCCGGCCAGAAACAAGTGGCTCATCCACGTTCTGTACCATATTCCCGTCAATCCTACCCTGTACTAAAATCCGCTACATTTATTTTCGCGCACGTATGAGTTTCTTTAGTCACGTGGATCGGCGAAAGTGATTATTCATCGGAGCTTTTTTCATCAAAATACCGATATCAGCTTCCATTTGAGTACAAGAGCATTATATGTATTATGCACGCGATCGATGGTGTATGCTCGCGAAAGGATCACGTAGAGATGCGAGCTCATACGTATGCGTGACTGCCTCGGGATTGCGCAAAGAAATGGGTCGATATTAGTTATGTCTTGGCATAGTCGCTCTCGCAATGTACGACGAGTGTATACGACTGGCAACGTAATAATATCCGCACGCTTGCCTCTTTTTTCACTGATACGTTCGAGGGAGGTATTACTCATTGTAAATGATGAAAAAACTCTGGTTTGCCGTTTCCTACGACTTTTGGAAATACCTCATCGTTTTTTACTTTGTACATACACGAGTCTCATACATAAAATTTTACATCTTGGAAAAAAAAAAAAAATAAAAAAGTAAAGAAAAATAGAAGAGCTAACAAAATAAAAATGTTTACAAGAGCTAACAAAATGCGCAGTATGATTTTGTGTGAGTTTTATAAGTTTTAAACCAGAAACTAAATAATAAGCTCTGACACACAAAAAATGTCTTGCAAATTATTCAAGTATGTGTGCAAGAATTATTAATTAAATGAAAATAAAGACTAGGTATGAAGTCATGACTCTTCGTTGAACATCAACTTTTCCTCTTACCCAGAACGTATCTTTGAAGCACTAAAAGTAACCCTCGTGGGTTTGGTATTCTATCTCGATCGATCACCTCAAAAAAATAACTTTGCGGCAAATCCCCTCCTTCGTTCGCGAGCCGCAGATTTTCCGATAGGATTTTGTGCACGATATGTATACGAGCGACGAAATTTAGGGTAGCGCTCGCAGACACACACGCGTGAAAGTGGAAGAGAAAGCAGAGAAAACTCTCCGGGGGAAAGGGGCTCGTGCACGTATATAGGTGGTACAGACAGTTTCCAATGCGGATAGCGAAACTCGCGGCCACTCGCCCACTCCCTTGCACAACACCTCTCATCCTTACCTCTGTATACCCAAACGGGGAAAAAGTTCTATTGCCTCAGGGGTTTGCCTCTACTCCGAGTGCACGGGTTTTTTCTTTCGTCTTCTTTCTCTCGGCGCCTTTTTCACTTTTTTTTTCTACAACTGGCTACTATGGGTTTTTAAACTTTTTCTTTTTTTTTTTTTTTTTTTCTCAAAGTGATGACATTGAGTAGGGTCCAAAAATGAAAAATGCTATAATATATTTATTGTTTTAGAATCTGTGTTACGGATTAAAAGTATGATAAATATCCTCTCAAACTATTTTTTCCTTCTACATTGCATAAATTACTTTATTTGAAGTTTGTGTGATATAACTTTTTAATAGCTGAAACTTGTAAAAACTAGAAAAAACATTAGTCGTATATCTATGAATATTAAACCAAAAATGAAAAAAAAAAACAAATGATATCTTAAAATTGCGACAAATTATTTTTTTCCTTTGAACTAAGATAAATATAAAAAAATTTACAAAAAAAACTGTCAATTTAAAAGTAGTATTTGATAAAAAAAATAAGTTGTTGAATAAATTTCTCATTTAACTTCTTATGCTTCAAAAATTATTTTGAAACAAATCACATTTTTTTACTGTCAAACATTTTATAAAACTATAATTAGCGAGTGCATGCTGTAACTCTTAAAAATCTTGACGTAATCGAACAAAAGTTTCTGTAGGCATCGGATGTGACCTATTAATATTTATTGCATCGTAAGAATGATTGAATGATACTTGAAAGTTTTATAAAAAAAAAGTTATTCAAATATTTAGATTTAATTATCACTGATATTGATTATTCTCGAAAAGAACTCCTAGCTCGAAAACACACACGGATTAATCATTCAGCATTGCATTTTCCTTTTTCATGCTCAACGGTTAATGAAATATTTGCGCTGAAGTGCTAAAGAAGGACAACCAATAAATTTTGAAACCCTATTTTTCCAGTCTCACTTGCTTATACGTGGAACGAGACATTTTTTTTTGTAATTCATCATTGGTCATCGACAAACCAGTAATGTAATCCGCAGCCTACGGAAAATTGCACGATTTTTACGCGCGTTTTTATGAAAGCAATAAAAATACAGAGGCTAGATGGATAGACGCGTGGTGTGAGCCAGTAATTACTCTTGATTCATTTATTGGGCGAAAAGCTGCACGGCGAATGAGGTGGAAAACGGTTTGATGGCAAGTTTTTTGCCTTTATTTGGTTAGTTTATTTTGATGTTTGTCAAACAAAAGGGTAGTTCTGCACAAAGTTGATTGACGCAATTTATCAAACCGAGTTAATTGAAAATACGTGTACCATCACAAAATATAAATATTTAGAGGGAAAATCTCGTTATGAAACGTTTCAAAGTGTATTTTTACTCAGGGCCATCGTTCAAATTTTTGTATATTACAAATTGGCAGTTATATCTCAAACACATCTCCAAAGCAACAAACGTCGAAGATATACATAATGTAAATATATAGCTTTGTACATCTTTACATGATAATCCAATTTGAAATCATCCTGTCGTGATATGGAAAAAAAATACTAGTATACATACAAGAGTACACACGAACCCAGTGACATGAAAACTCGCGTGTCTGACCATATCGAGATCTTTTCACTGCAAGCGCATAATCTCTCCGGAAAAATCAGTAGTAAATATTTTTTCATTTAATCAAACTTTAATTTTCAATTCATCATGCACACAAGTTAGCAAATACATGGTAAAACATTTCAACTATGGATTCATCGAGTAATTTGTTGCACTTAAAACTAGCTCTTTCTAAAACTCAAAATTTGTGTTTACCGCAAAAGTACGAAGATCTGATACTGTGAGCTCACTTTTCCGTCGCACACGCTCGACCCAATTAATTAAAATAAATCATTGAAAAGTGTCACACCGATCGATAGACGTCCAGACAGTATCAGGTATATTACTAAGGCAAGCACAATGGAATGACATTCGCGTGAGTAAAAAAAAATTCCGCTTGATTCTGATGAGCGAGTACGCGTTAAAGAGTATTAAATCCGAGAAGGAGGACGATCGATTTCTGATATTAAAATAATCGAGTGCCCCGAAGAAAAGAGGCTTGCGCTCAACTCGAGTCCAATCGTTCCAACACACCCAAATCCCATCCATCGCCATTTATCACCACCTGTCATCCACACTTTTTTCCCACTCCCTCGAAACGTACGATATTATTATTATGTACGCATATTTTTAAAAAAATTGCACTAATGCATTTTATCAGCGCTCCCTTTGACATTTTTTTTTATCACAAACTCGCAAACGCTGTTGCGCAAACCTCCTCTTCGCACTCAAGAGGTGACGCTTGGAAGTGTCAAATGCAAGTATTACTGAAGTACCACACTTCGTGTTTTTTCTATTCAACGATGGTCCCCATCTTCCCTCTTCGAAATTGCGTTTGACGCCTCACTGCCACTTTCTCCAGAATATCGGAAAGTGAGAATTTTATGCTTTGCATTTCGAATGACAGCTTTACTGCTAGGCTGTGGTAGAAAAAAAATACTTTTTTCCAGAAAATTAGCATTTTCAGGGATAATAGTAGTTTTCGTCGGCCATCGGACGATTTTTTCTACCTCAGGCGTTTTTGAGAGTCCGGTGTGCCCTCGGTAGAAAAATAGACTTTTTTCCAAGTCCATAATTAATTGATCGAAATGAATAATTTTAATACACTTTGTAAAAGTTCATTGTAACTATATACAGTGTACAGAAGTTTAAGACCCAAAATTCATGACGCACTTTCGACCCACATATTATTCCACCAGCCAATACATTCAACTACGAATTCTCATCCGAACTCTTGTTTTCGATGCACATAAATGGGTACGCGTTCGTTTCACATCCCATTCTGGACTCATAAATTTAAATCAAAAGGGAGAGTAGAAAATTTTGCATGTGAATGGGGATCGCCTCGATTGTTTCGGCAGCAATGATGGACCGTGATTTCAAAAAGGGGCATTAAATCGAGCATCGTGGTATGAATTACCGACCCTGTAATGGCCAATTCGTGGCTCGGCTATTATGCGCATCTACACAATGCATATTGTTGTTTGAAAAGCGCAAGCGATGCGACGAGCGAAATTCTAATTTTACCATTGTTTATCGCATACTTATTTGTGCGGAAGGGCTTTATTGTTTAAATTAGGGGTGGAGTTGGAGTTTGTTGATGTTCAGATTTTAGAGCTCGTCAAAGATTAAGGATGGTACGGTGTATTTTTAAAAATAAAAAATTAACAATTGTTTAATGAAAAGAGTTTTAAAAATAAAACGTAATATAACTAAAAGGCGATTATCTAATAGTATTACTCAATATACACTAACTGTTTAGTGTCGATTTTCTATGCAATAAACTACTGTGTTTTTAATGAGGAAACCTTTTACCCAGCAATTAAACTACTAAGTTCATCAGTCTGAGAGGTATTTTTATAAATTAAACATATAACCGAAGCAAAATGAACTAAAAACTACTGGGACCTTTATAAAAAGTATTTTCCTCGGAAACTACATTTAAAATGTTTGTATTACGAACTAACTTATTAACAATTTGCTTAATTTACCGAATGGCCGTAAAGAAATTATCTTAACATCTTTCGTAACAAACATTTACAAAATTAAATTTTTAATTAATATAACAGGAGTACATTTCCTTTCATATGGAAAAATCAGATGGATTGATACACAAGTTTTACTTTCAAAGTCAATATAAAAGTTATTTCGTAAAAGTTATAAAAATATTTTCATCCATTAATACATTGATTTTTTCACGCAAAAATATAGTTTTTCGATGTGCAGTGTTACAAAATAAACATTTTTCGTCTGAAATTTAGTCGAAAAAGTCCTAAAATTTTTTTTTTCATAGAAAGGAAACCAAAGCTCTACGAAAAATCCAAGGGTACACCCTTACAAAATGAAAGTGCAGCACCAATGTCACATTTCGTAATGCTTTTAAAAACTGTCACACAATGTAAAATATACAGTAAAATCCATTGAAAGCTCGTCTCTGTTTTTTACAGGTGCAGTGGAGGGCCTGATGATGACGAACCTGAAGATACCCACGCACGTAGTGCAAAACCAAACTGTGCGGATGGAGTGCGAATTCGACTTGGACGGGGAGCCCCTGTACTCGGTCAAGTGGTACAAGGACGGCAACGAGTTTTATCGCTACGTGCCAAACGAGCGACCCGACATCCACGTCTTTTCCCTTCCTGGCGTCAACGTCGACGTACGTACAATTTATACTATGATGCTATAAAAGCTTCCCTTTATTACTTTTATTATTTTTGCTTCCACATTGTGATGTCATCCCGATACCTTCTGTCCCCTGGCATTTTCTCTCCCTCCCTCTCTTCCGTACTCTTTTTTTACGCAGCCACATTCCCCGAGTTTCTTCCCCACAGTGAGCTTAGGGGGTTGGACGAGGGGCGCCATGAGGAGTAGGAGTGGGAGGGGCTCTACGACGTGCGCTGTTGTGCGAGCTTTTATTATGCAATGGGACAGAATAATCACGTTACATATTTTGGTCCAAAGAGAAAACTAGAGGAATAAACAACGAATATTACAATGTAGTTGTCTCACTGGAGGATTTAGGGGCCCAAGCATTTTTGGTTTCTCGCGATTTTTTCTTTGGAATGCATATTTATACTGAGTGGAATTAAAATTCGACCCATAAGAGTAAGGCGAGGAGGAGATATATGGACACTGTGAAGTTTTTTAGTATTTTATTATTTTTGTATGTATTACCACAAAGTGTATACTACAAAAAATAAGAATCGATGCTGTTTAGTGCATGGGCTATGACTCAGTTTTCATACCAAATGCTCTTCAGGTAGTTTGTTTTATTGTATCAAGTAAATATTTAAGCATTTTTAGGTTTTCTACTAAAAATTATGTTACATTTTAAATAAGAGACATGTTTACCTGACATTTTAATATACACATTACAGTATAACTTGACAGCAACTAAAGCTTTGTTACATTTTGAAAAAACCCAAAAAATTATTTAAACATTCATTCATCATTCAAGAGCACAATAGCTTCTAAATGTACTTAAAAAAGTAATTCTACAGTATATATTACTTTTGTTGGGGTTAAGTGCACGTTACTTTGCATACTTTAAATTCTTTATTTTTACGAGAAAAAAAGGAAAAAAAATAAAGCCTTGTTCGCCACGACTTTGAAAATTACTCTTCTTTCTGCCTTATGGAGCTTATGGTGCATCTCATTAAATGGAATAAAAGCGTTTCGATTAATCTCTCTCTCCCTCTGTCTGTCTTTTCTTCGAGGGGATTTTTTGTGGAGCAGTGTAAATATGTATGTTAAGCAGCTCAGTCCTCAAAATAATGAAATGATTTAAAATAATGAAAGCAAGTAATCTTGACCATACTTCTTAATGCGGATTATTGTCACTCCTAAAAGCTAAAAAAAAAAAAAATCACACGGAAAGTAGGCTAATCAAGGCTAAGGCTTTTCTCGAGTACCGAAGTGCTATACCGCAGTACTTACTTCGTCCAACTATTACAGCACGAGCAGCACCACTAGCAGTAACTCCAGTTCTCCGAGAGTTAATTTCCTTTGTCTTGGAAAGGAGGCGATGCGTTCAAGCCAGAGGCTTGGAATTGAAAGTAATTTCAAGTTTCCAGTCCTTATATGCACCCCCGATCCTCTACCTCCTTCGTGATCGAATTTAAGAGAAAGCTGGGAACTAATTTTTTTTTTTTTTTCTCAAACTGACAGACATAATTTTAGGCTAAATTTATACGACAGTAATTTTTCAATTTCTAAAAGTACCGTCAAGAAATTCGTAATGAGCTTTTTAAACGCGAAAAGATACAGTTTGTTGAACTAAGAATTTAACATAACCACAGGAGTGCAATACATGATTCACTTATCTGGAAACGAAAATTGTAGCTATTGAGACTATACCTAAAGTGAGTATTTCCAAAGTAAATTTTCCCAAAGAAGCTTTCAATCGGCCATCGTTGCATCATCAAGCAAGTTTGGATAGCTCATTTCTTGTTAGTTCTCCACTTAGTAGTTTGGAGGGTAGAGGGGGGGCCATAACCGCGCGCTTGGAAGAGCACCGCGTAATCGAGTTGCCTGCGCCGAGCCAATCGAACCGGGCAATTATTAGTTAAACGTGCACTACCTATACACCTATTTGTACTACACAAGCCACAATTTGTGTGCTTTATCGAAGAATTGAAAAGTACTAAGATTATAAAACTACGTTTAGTAAAGAAAATTATTTCGAATGACTGGGGAAATGTAAAAAAAAAAAAACAAAACAAGCTTTACGCCCATCGTCATCGAGGGTTATCGTGTATTATTACGTACTTGCACTACCAAAGGTGAAGTTAGCGAGACAACTACTTAGGGTTATTCCTCTAATCCCGGAAACTGATGACATCATTGCTCATACGTGTCTAAAGATGAGTAATAGCCGTAAGGATGGAATCGTTGAAATAAAAAGGGGTTGGGAAAGGAAAATCCAAGGAATTAATCAATCTGATTGATGTATTATGTGTTACCCTCACGTGATTCATTTCTGTATTACATTAGCTTACAGCTCGTTATCCAAATGTATTCCTACATAACAATCAGCACAAAATTACATCACATGTCCATACATTGCGTTGTATTAGTTGTTGGGAGAAATTTCTATCTCTCATTAATATTGCAAGCAGGGAGATTCTCTATAGTCACTACTAGGGTCCGCAACAGAGTATAATGTAACCTAATTACCATCAATGACCTAAGCATGTACCACAGCACAAAGAATCTGGAACAACTAGCTCATACCCACTGAAGAAAACCACAGAGGTATTCTGTCACTTTGGCCTTCTGTTTCGAGGACAAAGGACTTTCTACCGCAATGACAAGCGTAAAATAAATTTTCTCTTGTTATTTTCTTCCCACTTCTACAATCTAATACAACACATGCACACACGATTGGAGCTGTTGCCCTCCCCCGTTCTAAGTATCGTCACCCCCACCCCTTTGTCTTTGTGGAGACCCTCTCCGTGCCTCTTTCAAGTGGGAAGTAGAAGCAACAGCGGCGGCATAACCACCTTTGATTCACGTACGTGCACTTATTTACACAAGAAGCTGCGACGCAGTGGAGTACTTCTCAAAGCATAGGCACGTCGAAGAGCAGAGACAAGCAGAGAGAGAGAGAGAGAAAGGGTGAGAGGGAGGGACGAAAACGAGAGACGAGCGAGCTTTTGTAGGTGGAGTGCCCCGAGAGCTTCAGGATCCTTCGTGGCTCTGCGTCCATAGCCCACACACAGATACACATACACAGACATGCATGTATATATAAGTTCATGTTTGTCCACTATAGGGAGCGACAGAAAGGAATCCTAAAAGCGTTAGCGTTATTTTGTCAACGTCTGACCACACGTGGACTCGTACTACTGCCACAGTTGATTTTTCACTTCATAAAGGACCAGGGGATAAAGAGAACGAAAAACAGCCCATAAACTTTTTGTCAGCACTAAATAACATGTATTTGTGTATGTAGTAACAGGGGTATAAAATTTAACAGCCCTAAAATAAAAACCTGGGAACCAATCATTACAATCACAAGTTTTATTTTTCCAAGTACAATAGGCTTATGCGGGTATGACCGTTCACAGGTATAATAGACTTTTAATTGAACAAGTCTTTTCTTTTTCATTTTCCATTTTCCTCGACGTGCAGCAACTTATGACAATATTTCCAAGTGACTCTTTACGCGCGTTATACAAAGTCTTCACGCACGATTGCATCCACGGGATGAACTTGGGTGCTAGTTTCCAAGAAGCCGTTGTCATGAGCTGCGTTTACTGCAACAAGATTAATAATTATGCTAATAATGCTAATAATAATAATAATAATAATAATAATAATAATAATAATAATAATAATAATAATGATAATGATAAAAGTTATGTGAATGATAATCGACATTATTGCATTTCTCAATGTGCTTTAACTAGGAAAGACGAATGATTTATTTCTATAAGTAAAAACAATCACTAATACTCGGCTGTTTACTCTTGTTTCTATTGAAATGCTCATACATTTTAGAAATTATGGTATACATTTCTTTTCTATCTTGTAGCTTATGAAGTCAAAATCTTTTTTCAGTCAATTTTACCAAAGAAATTAGTGTTACAATGAACTTTCAATATAAATTTTATCTGTCTTAACCCAATAATCTTTTACAATTTTGTGAACGTGACGGATTCTTTTGTAACATAAACATGGGGGGTCCAACCTTTTTAAAGTTGGAAATCTCATCATGGTAACCCGTCTTGTGTCTCTTTGGCTCCTATTGTTATACACGTCGAACAAAGAGAAAATCAGAACAAAACACAGAGAGAAAGAGAAACAGAAGAAGGAGTCTCTGGTTTACGCACTCGTGCCTCTAAAAATCAGGAAAAATAACGTTTCATTAGTAAAAGCAACATCTGCCGTCCGTAAAAAAGAGAACGAGGAATATTCCCACGCGCTGATTGTCACGCTTTGATATCGGTAACCGTACCTCGTACCCTCGCCGTCATTTTTCGACCTTTGCACGCCCGCAAAGTTTGTACGTACACGTTCATACACCTCCCACGCTCGTGCAGCCATCCCCCTTTGTTTGCTCGATTTTCTGGCTTCTTTTTTTCGTTCCATCTTTTTTTTTGCTCCCACGCGACGTGCAGGGCGATATATAAAACTCGCGCACAGATTTTTCACCTTCACGTGTTGTTGTTCTTGTTGTTGCACGGTACACCTGCACGTGCTACACGTGTGGGTACGTGTGCTCTACTTTTGTGGGTAGGACGCGCCAGACCAGAAAAAGCAAATAGATAGGTCTTTGTTGTGCCCGCGGGAGTTGAGGACGGAGAGCAAGGGCGGCGGTGGAATAAGCTTTTTATAATACGGGGAAAGAAATAAATGGAGAATTATGATTTAAATGGAGGCAAAAAGTAAGAAAAGGACCAAGTGTAGTGTATTGTGTGTCTGTCATGCCGAAGGGAAAGGTGAACAAAAAATTTCGAAAAAGGTGATCTTTTTTTTTTTATTTGAACTTCTCATTTGGTTTTTTTTTTTTTTTTTTACAGACATTACGACAAAACTGTACACACGAGGGCTCTGCGTTGCTGTGTTTTTGTTATCTTTTATTGAATACTANAAGCTCGTGATGAATAAGGAAGTATTTGAAGGTGGAGTAGTGTACGCATATTTTATTGAGGT